TGTCAACAATGTTGATAATGTTATTAATGTCAATAATGTCAATAATGTCATTAATGTCAACTATATCAACAATGTCATTAATATCATATAATACATGTAGATCAATTTGTAGATCAATCTTGCAAATCATTCTGTTGATCAATTCTGCAAATCCCTTTTGTAAATCGATTTTATAGATCACTTTATAGATCCGTTTACATTACTCCGCGCTTAAGATTTTTGTACCAACAGAAATTTCTATTGCTTTACAAAGGAGGTCTTGAAATTCAGAGGACTTGAGTGTTCTAACCATCATTAATATCAAGATTTGAGTTACCATGATTTGTTGAGTACTGAAAGTTTCAAATAAATGATATACTCAAGTAGCACTTTGATGATAATGAGTGGTCATCATTTGATATTGCAGAGTTTGTTGAGCAGGTATAATATCATCATTAATAAATTGTCCTAAGAAAAAGGCATTAAGTAAAATTAAGATGCGATTTTTCACACGTTGAACTTTTAAGAACAAATGGTAAGTTCTTTTAACTTTTTTATTTATAGTCATATCAGAGGTATATGGTCAGGTTAGTTCAAACATTACTTCTGAAAGAGGTCTTCATAGTTCTTGCAATATAAGATCGCTTACAGTTGGAAATTCCATTCTGTTCAAGACTTGAACAAATCTACGGTATTTTTATTAGATTTGTGGAGGTAGATCATCAATTATAATCTGTAGTTCCCAATTGGTCTGTTCAAAATAAGGTTTGAGTTGATCAGCATGTGTTGGATTTTTCCTAACTCTTTCTATTATGATAGTTCTTCTTCATCATCTAGCTCTGAATCAGAGCATAATAGTTCTGACGGTAATGAATTTGAAAATGATCCTTTCGATGAAAATAATGCGACCAGTCAAGGTCAACTTGATTTCTTCTGAATGATAAAAGGACTAACCACTATTTTCAAAAATGTTGGATTTGATGAACAATATGAAAGCAAATTCATGGAACTCCCTTCTTTTAAAGGTAGATACCAGGATCCTCAAGATAGACTCAATAGATATAATAATGCATGTAAAGCTAATAATATTTCTAACTGAAGACGTTTGACTCTTGTATTATTCTTTCTTAAAGGATCCGCACTCACTTAGTATAATAAAGCTAAATATAAAAAAGATATTTGTTATTGGGATAATAATGAAGATCAACAAAGGAAACATTGTATACCAATTCATTAAACACTACAATACTATTCATCGCTGAACCCAATGGAGATCAGCTTTCTGACGTTGCAAACAGAGACTAGGATAATCTGTTGAAGAGTATGCTGCTGAAATGGAATCATTGTATTTGAAATTAGACCCATACCATAACATGTCAGAAGACGAGAAAATTGAACAGTTTCTTCAAGGATTATGTTCTGAATTCCAAACTGCTATTGCCGCTGCAGCATCACGTAATGTGAAAGAAGCTATTGATAATGCTTGATCTATTGAAGCAGTTTTGTTAAAAGATACTACACTATCAGGATATTCTTTGAGTAAGGCATATTTAAACCAAAGCATTAAAACTGTTGAAGAAGATCCAGTCAATATGCAACAACTGATTGAGAAGAATAATGAGAAAATACTTAAAGAATTTAAGTAATTATTGATTGGAACTAATATGACTCCTCAATATAATACCAGTAAATATGGGTACAATAATAATAATAACAACAATTATAATAACAATAGCAGTCGACCAGCAATCAACAGTAACTGGCGAAATAATAATGTGATTAATAATTAGCAAAATAATAATGTAAATAACAATAGGCCTAACATGAGATCTTGTTATAACTATAGACATAATGGACACTTTGCAAGGAATTGTATACAACCATGAACCAATCTGAGTGGTACACTGAATATTATGAACACTGGGTATTATAATTGCAAGCAACCTAGATATATCACACGAAATTGTAGAGTGCAACCAAGAGAATCATGTATACATTGCAATCAAGTTAGGCATTAGTCAAGGCTCTGTCCAACAAAAACACCTGTTACTGAACAGCGAACAGCCCTTTTACAATTTACTCTAATGACTTCCTTCAACATGGTGACTCCTATGCATTCTTCACTACCACCACTCATACCTACTAGTAACCAACCACCAGTAATACTTTCATGACCGCATTTAAACTATTAATGATGTCTCCTAAGGGTAAGCATACCAGTTATTATTCAAATCCCTCAATAACTTCAGAAGCTGTAGAGGCTATTTATTGTTATGCCACTATGTAGTGTTCGTAAAAAATCTGATTCAATCTGACGGATTTGGATTTGGATTCAGATTCAATCCATCAGATTTGGATTTGGATTCAGATCTGATTTGTTAGATTTGAAATAAAAATGCCACCCCGAAGTCAGACGCGGTATTTATTATTAAAAAAGTTTAATTTTTAATAATTAAATGTCGCCCGAAAGTCAGACACAGCATTTATTATTAAAAAATTAATTTTTATTAATTTTAATAACAAAATTCCGTCCGAAAGTCAGAGGCAGCATTTATTAATAAAAAAAATTAATATTAAAATGTCGCCCTGAAAGTTGGAGGCGGCATTTATTAATAAAAAATTAATTTTTATTAATTTTTTATTAATTTTTATAACAAAATGCCGTCCCAAAAGTCAGACGCAGCATTTATTATTAAAAAATTAAATTTTAATAATAAAATACTGTCCAGAAAGTCAGACGTAGCATTTATTATTAAAAAAATTAAATTTTAATAATAAAATGCCGCCCCGAAAGTCAAATGTGGCATTTATTAATAAAAAATTAATTTTTATTAATTTTTTATATAAAAATGCCACTCCGAAAGTCAGACGCAGCATTTATTAATAAAAAAATCAATTTTTATTAATTTTTTATATAAAAATGCCATCCCAAAAGTTGGACGCGGCATTAATTAATAAAAAAAAATGCCACCCCAAAAGTCGGACGCAGCATTTATTATTAAAAAAATTAAATTTTAATAATAAAATGCTGCTCCAAAAGTCAGATGCGTCATTTATTATTAAAAAAATTAAATTTTAATAATAAAATGCCGCTCCGAAAGTCAGATGCAGATTTTTGTTAAAAAAAAACAAAATTGTTGTTTTTTTAACATTAAAACGCTGTTCCGAAAGTCAGAAGCAGATTTTTGTTAAAAAAACAATAAAATTAATGTTTTTTTAATATTAAAATGCTGTTTTGAACGTTGAAGACAGATTTTTGTTAAAAAAACAACAAAATTATTGTTTTTTTAATATTAAAATACCATTTTGTTAAAAAAATTTTGGATCTGTCAGATATGGATACAGATTCGGATTTGTCAGATTCAGATACAAATTCGGATTCAAATCGAATCGGATTCAGATTTTTCGGATTTGGATCAAATCGGATTTTGCCCAAATCTGATCTGATCTGATCCGTGTGGAACACTACCGCTGTGGATAGAAAACCTATTTATTTAATATTAGATTCAGGATAGTGTTCTACACGGATCGGATCAGATCAGATTTAGGCAAAATCTGATTTGATCTGAATCTGAAAAATCCAAATCTGATTTGATCTGAATCTAAAAAATCTGAATCAGATTCGATCTGAATCTGACAAATCTGAATCTGAATCCGTATCTGAATCTGACAAATCTGAATTTGTATCTGTATCTGACAGATCAAAAAATTTTTTTAAACAAAAATCCGCTTCCACCATTCAGAACAGCATTTTAATGTTAAAAAAATAACAATTTTATTGTTTTTTTTAACAAAAATCTGCCTTTGAAGTTCGGAACAGCGTTTTAATATTAAAAACAATAATTTTGTTGTTTTTTTAACAAAAATCCACCTCCGACGTTCAGAATGGCATTTTAATAGAACCTGAAAAACTTTTAATAGAAGTTACCACCAAATATAATTCAGAGACTTATAGATTTTTAAAAAATGTTACTGGATAGGCATGATTCGCACTCATATAATATTGGAAAGGTCACAGTATTTTGCGGTTTGTGTTAATTCATGTTACTGCTTTTGAATGGTTCACAAATGATAAAATGTAAATAGATTACTGTATATAGTATGATTCGCAAAACATAGATATAGATATATATATACTACATATATGCTATATTTCCCGGTTTGATTTTTAGAAAAAAATTTAAAATTCAATCCTTTACCAGTCCTTTACCTTTCTTTACCAGCTGTAAGATTTTTACAATTTTTTAAATTTATTTAAAATGGAATGATTGATAAATATTTTTAGCTTTATTTGGTTTTATTGCTTGACATTTTAGCATTTTGGAACAAGCAGAATTGCAGAACTGAAAATGCACGAAAATTAGCATCACGTAATCTAAAACTTATTTTTTTTGTTTCCAATTTTTTTTCTTGACTGTTTATTATTTTTTTACTTTACAATGCCACCAATTCGCAAGCAATCAACTAATATTCAGATTTCTCAGTTTAGGTCATTTCCAAAATTTGATAAAATTATAGATGAAAAAACTGTCCGGTGTAAATGTGGAATTACAGTTCGACTAGACTGTCCGTTTAGAATATCAAATTTTGAAAGACATATTAAAAGTTGTAATTGTATTCTTGGCACTGATAATCAACAAAGTTTATATGTCTTCTTTAACCAAAGCCAAGATACAGAAGAAGATGAAGTTGAATCACACGAACTCTTGCCTTGTATTGGTTTATTTGGTGATTTGTATACAGTTTATGCTACTAGTTTTCCAGCCCTTTTTGGTGGTGGAGAAAGGCCTGAAGTAATTGGAAAGAATTTTTTTCCTGAGATGTTTCCACAAGATACTCCTTTTTGCCGTAAGAAACTTAATAAAGTTCAAACCCAAGAATTTAATACTGCATTGCAAGCGGCAGCTACCTGGAAAATAGATCTATATGAAGAAATGATTCAGAGTGTAAATTATACAATTATGACAACAAAGTTTTCAGGTTTATGTTATGAATGTAATAATTTACATAATAACAAGAGATTAAATGAAGTATTAAAAGCCATAAGTTAATTAAGTTAGTTTTTTTATTGCTAAAATATCATTAATATTAAAATTTTAATTTCTTTGATACAAGAAACATGTAACACCACTATTAATCAAATATATACCAAAATTTTATTTTGATACCTGTTTAATTCAACTTTTGAAAAATGGGAATCTTAGAAATCTATGGACTTGTATGATTTTTAATAACAATGATACTGCAATGTAGACTTTTTTAGCTCAAATGGGAATGAATGATGCTTTTAGTAGTGAAAAGACATTTACAGAATTAGCTTCTTTAATGTTACAAATGAAAACAAAAGAAGATGCAGGTATTAGTATGAAAGGCCTGCGATATTCTGAACATCTCACACATTTTTTTAGCTTATTATCTGAGAGTAGTCGTGAATATGAAATTTTTCGTAAAGAATTGGGAGGAATGTCTATTCAAAGAATACAGTATATATATATATTTGTTTTCAACTTTTCATTTGCAATATTAATCATATTTTAATTATTTAAGCTAAATACGTGCTTCAAATCCTGAGTTAATCACAGATCCTAATTTAATTATAGAAAATATAATGAGATTTGCATGTATAATGAAGGAATTAAAATGGGAAGGACCAATTTTATTAATAACTAATTATACAAAGATCCATTTTAAGCTAGTATATTCTCAAGAACTTGGTTATATTACTGGATCTACTTTATCTTCAAATGAAGCTTCAGTTTCTAACATTGATGATATACATGCAAAAATACGATACATACATGAAAAAATGCAGTTGTAACACAAATTTGGGTCATTGTTTTTAAGGTTTTTAACTTCTATAATTTGCTAATATTTTTTTTTTAATATTTATATAAGTCTAATATTAATTATATTAGATTCCAATTGGAAAAATACCTCTAGTGGTAATTGCTATTTTACCTACAAAAGGTGATGAATCTGCAGAACAAATTTTCAATATTCTTCATATTGTATTAGATTTTGCATACCAAAGTGACATCAATATTCTTAGTATGGGAGCTGATGGAGCACGATCAGAATTTAATGCTCAAACACAAATTATAAATTCAGCGTCAACATACTTTACATTTGATGATCCATTTTACAATGTGCATTTAAAAGTACTAATTATAAGTGAAAAGCATTAGTTCGTATTCAAAATCCTAAACATGCTAAGAAAACAATACGGAATCAATTATTTACTAGGCAGGACTAAGGTTGCTTGTCTAAACTCATTTTGGATTTGGCAAAATGGTAAAATCTTTAGTTTCGCTAAATTTTTACTAAGTGTTTGATATAGTTTCACTATTTTTATAAGCTTTGATATAGTTTTACCTTTTTCCAAATTTCGCAGATTTTTTAATAAGGTTTTAATATAATTTAACCAAGTTTTACTTTTACTATTTAGACGTCTGTCTAAACTCTTGATTTCGTCTAGCAACTTTAGGCATGACTTCTCTCATTAGGAATAGATACTGCACAATATGATCAACTTTTTGAATTAGCACATAGAAATCATCATACTTTATTAAAACGTGATGTTCTTAATGTAGATAAACAAGATGATGGTGCTGCATATTGAACATTTCATTCAGAAAATTTAGCACAAATTGTTGAATCAGAAAATATTCCTTCTAATATGATTGGAATTTTTGTTTACTTATTTATCCTTGGTAAGTTATTATTTAAAATAAAAGAAATCATTTAATAATTAACTTATATAGTCATTATTGACAAATAGGAAAATTATGTGATACATATCTTAATCAAAAAGTTGATCATAAAGTAAGAATTCAAATGGTTATGCGTGCATTCTTTTTTCTTAGAATCTGGAAAGATTATATTCAACGTTGTGGCACAATTTATTTATCAAAATGGTATAATATGCAGTGTAGTATTATTTCTATGTAAAGTTTTGAAATCTTTATTAGTATGGCAGAATCTTTGGTAATGCTTATTTTAGTTCACCGAAATTATTACTCCAACTATCCTTTATTTTTATAGGAGCATGGAACTGAGGCACTTGAATACATTTTTGGTATATCACGTCAAGTAATATCAGATTTTAATTTTTATGAATTTTATAAAATTTAAAAACGTGTTATGCATCGAGATAAAATTTCACGTGCTGAATTAATTGATACATTAAGAGATCAGACATCAGCTGCAGATAAGAACTTCATTATAATAACTAATGTATAGCTTAAAAAATTCACAAGTATTAAATATTTTTAGGTTATGTATTTGATATTGATGGCACTTCTCTTCCTCATGAAATTATTGAATATTTATGAAACTGGCCTTCTGATGATAATATTAAAGAAGCAATTCGCATTGGATATGATGAAGCAATTGCATTAGCAAAATATCTTCAAATTGATAATAAAACTGTATTTTCTATTCAACCACTTGATCATGTTGAATTTTCTTCAGATGATCTAGATATTTCAAAAATGATTGATGATGAAAATAATCAATATCAAAATTTAATTGGTACAAATTAATTTATTTGTCCAAAATTTTTATTAAATATTTTTAATTTTATATTATTATTTTTATTAATAGGACAAATTGAATCATAAATAGAATCTGAAGATATCAGGACTGCTGCATTTGAGGTTTCATGATACCTGTTGGATGAATCTAACAATAGTGAAGAATTTGCAGATGAAAATGAAATTACAAATATTTCAATAGCAAATTTTCCTGATTTGCAATATATTCTTAGTCAAAAACAAATTCCTCAAAAGTTTGAAAGTTTTGATTTACTTTTTACACTTGAAGGATTTTTATGTTCTAAAGTTTTAATTAATATTCGAAGAAATCATGATGCCTTCTCACATCATTCAAAAAGAATTTCTAACAATCAAAATTTATCTAATACTAGTTCACTCAACCTTAATAATGCTAATAAGTTAATTACTGTATTAACAAATAATTTTGATATTCAAGAAAATCGTGTAAATAGACGAAAAGATCATTGGAAAGGATATAAAAGACTTGCAACTATTCCAATAACTGCTGGAATTAATAGTAATATTTATTATTAATATTATAAATGTGTGTAATCTTATAATAAACTTACTATATATTTCTTTTATTTTAGTATATAATATCATCGATGCAAATGTATCTGATTTTCATCCTTTAATTCCAGGTGGATATTTATTCATTTATTCTGACAAAAAACTTTGTATTGCTCAAATTATTCAATATATGAAAAGTGGGTGAACGACATGCTTGGGTAAACAAAAAAGTTGATTTTTTGGATTAATTATCTTATCTTTCAATTGATATTTATTTGAATGTTTACAATAATCTTTGAACAAATACATGTGAAGCAGGAGGAAAACTAGTTGGTCATATCTTAGCTAAAGAAGTTTTATATTATTTTAACTTGTGTCCTTTTAATTCTCAAAGTTGTCTTCTTACTTTAACAGAAATAGCTTTAGAAATTTTTCATTTTTTAAAACACCCGAAATGATGTCTTATCTTAAAAAAATTTTTCCTAAATAAAATTTTTCCTTAAATAATAATTTTTTTTTTTCGAATATTATAGTTAAAATTGTCCTATATTTTAAATAAATAATTATAAAATATTCTTTTATTACGATTTAAAATAAATATGTTACAATTTTTTCCTGATTCAAATATCTTAATTATTTTATACTTACCGCTATTTTGGTTTGCATAATTAATAAAATCATGTGGTTCGCGATCATATGATTTTTCTATATTTTGGCGATAACCTCTATTAGAAGTTTTCCAGGTCCTGTTTTAATGTTAAAAAAATAACAATTTTGGTTTTTTTAACAAAAATCCGCCTCTGACTTTCAGGGCGGCATTTTATTATTAAAATTTAATTTTTTTATTAATAAATGTCGCATCTGACTTTGGGGCGGCATTTTATTATTAAACATTAATTTTTTTAATAATAAATGCTGTGTCCGACTTTTGGGCAGCATTTTATTATTAAAATTAAATTTTTTTATTAATAAATGCTGTGTTTGGCTTTCGGCAGCATTTTATTATTAAAAATTAAATTTTTTTATTAATAAATGCTATGTTTGACTTCGGGGTGACATTTTTATTTTAAATCCAACAAATCAGATCTGAGTCCAAATCTGAATCTGTCAGATTGAATCAGATTTTTTGCGGAACACTAATTCAGGATCTGCTGGAAGTGTTATGTTCAAGTTATTTTTACAACAATTAGAACAAAAAATTGGATCTGCATCAACTATTACAATGATTAACATCTAAGGAAAACATTTTTGACTATTTCCAAAATTTCAATACAAATAGATAGTATAGAAATTCTCATAAATGTAGATATAACTGAATCAAAAAACTATTTTATTGTTACTAGAAATGACTGGCTTTCTAAATGCCAAGCACAATTACATTGAGACAAGGCAAAATTTATTTTTAAATGGCAAGGAATTATCCATCAAGTACCTATGATTTGCTAGGAAAAACCATCTTTCAATCAATATCAACAACTGACTCCAGTCCATATCACCATTGATGATGAGTATTAAGAAGAAGAATTAACATCTCGACGAAATTATGTAATATTAGGAGACCAAGATACTCAGCCAATTCTCGCTGAACAAAGGGATGATCAAATGATAATTGAAGGACAAAACTATTCACCCCAATATTATGAAAATTTAAAGCGAAAATTCAACGTAAAGCCTTCTTCAACTGAAAAATGGAAATATCATTGGCAAGGACCAGGCAATAGATGTTGGTGTCATAATAAGCTAAACTGACTGAATG